TGAATGGCTCCTCATTGACTCTCCAACAAGAGTAACTACCTATGTCTAGAATTTGTGACCTCACACAATACAGTCCCCACTTACTTGCCTGGCTTTTCCTCTCTCTCCTCTGATTTGCACCCCCCATTCCCAGGCATGCCCACTTCCTTGTGCTAGGTGGCACGCCCATATCTGTTCACTCTGCTGCCTTTAGCGGGAGCCCCTTCCTTTCAATCGCAGACTGTTAAAAACACGCTCATCTTTGAAGGGTCAACCCAGGAGATTTTTAGTGTCCTCCATATGCTGTTTGGCCTATTAATATTTATTGTATACCTTCTGTGTGCTAGGATATGGTGAATAGGACATGCCCGGTCCCTGTCCAGTATTCAGTGGCTGGATTGGGCATTAGAAGATGACGGGCGATGGGATTGGGAGGTAGAACCAGGCTGTAGGAAGTGTGTTTGCCATTCCCAGTTCACCTGGAGTGTTTATCCCAAGCAGTGCCCGTGGCTGCAGGAGCCACCGCCACCCTGGTAGGGAGGCAGCCTCTGCACTGCACCCTCATTCCCTTTTGTCCTTTCACACTTCTCCACCGAGCCTGGCAGTGATGCTAACAGAAGTATGTCATCAGCAAACATTACTTCTCTATTAGCTTGTTTCTCAGTTTTGATTCTGAAAATATCCTGATTTAGTCTAATTGCAGTTTCACTGTGTTCCTTAGGCAGCGAGGGTTCAGATTTGAGAGAGCAGAGCCTTAACCCTGCAGGATTTTTCTTCCTGCTCATCTGCTTTGAAGCTGGACCATTAGCTCTAAGGCAGGCATCTCATCTCGTCGCAGCAATTCAGTCTGCTTCTGGGGAAGAGAGATCCCAGGGTGTTTGGTAGGAAGAAAAGCAGTATCTTCATTCTAGGTGGCGGGAAATATTTTTCTATATGTAAAGCAAGGGCTGCTACTGGAATCATTTTATTCCTAAATAATTTAACTATATTCAAAGATAATCTGATGTTATTGTAGGAGAGTGTATTTCTAATAAATTCCACTTGATCTGGGTGAATCAATTCAGGCAGCGCATAATTGAGTCTGTTAGCAAGGACTTTAGCAAGAATTTTGCAATCAGTGTTAATTAAGAAGATGGGACAATAATTTGTGCATAATTCCAGATCTTTTCCTGGCTTGTGAATCAAAGTAATAAGAGCAATGCTCTGGCTGGTGGCGGGATACTGTCATTAGGTGCTGATTTATAAGTACTTAGAAAGGTTTAATTTCATTTTGCTTGGAGCAGGGTCTCCCTGCCCCCATATTCCTTGCTCAGGGTGTGCAGGCGAGATGGCTGCGAGCTTTCCTTTCTATCTTTCCCTGTCGTCAGTGGCCTCCTGCTCCCCATTTCTGCTTTTATTCTGCAGCTGAGCACCCCACTCACGCTCATGTTTTTCTTGATACTCTTATTTGAAGTCAGGGACTCATGTTATTGATATTTTGTGTATGCGTGTGCCTGCCTGCATGCATACATGTGTGCATGGGTGCACATGTAATACACACACATGCGTGTGCATGTGCATGTATAACGTAAAACCAAAGGGTTGCACACAGTTTCACAGGGGACATTTCTTCATGGGTCTTCCTGCAACACGTGTCTGGGTGGATGGGTATCAAGAGCCCTTGACTGCAAGTCAGGAACACACCTGGTTAACATGCTGCTCCTGATGGGCTATTGACCAGTAAGGGAACAGGTGTGAGCCTCAATGTCCCACTTGTAAAACGCAGCCATAGGATACACTGCAGGCATCATGGGAACCACGAAGAGCACTGGGCTCTACCTCCTGTCGGCTGTGGGACCACAGGGTGTAACGCAACCTCTCTGAGCCTCATTTAGCCCCTTGGGAAATGCACGTTGACGACAAGTCCTCCCTGCACCGTGATTCCTTACTCTGCCTCCACTCAGGGCTCGTTCCAATTCTCACATGCTCTGCTTTGGGGACTTATTCTCCCTAACGACGAGGACAGGGCTGGCCCTGGGCCAGGCTGTTGCTTATCTGGAGCATTGGAGCTCATGAACCGGTCTCCCCAGCCTTCTAGGCAGTTCCTTTCCTGCCCAATTGGCCTCCCCTTGCAGGCGGGGCCGGTCCACACAGGCCTGTTCGGATGCACCACACCTGTGAAAGCAGCGGGGGTTTGCTCACTCCTCCGAAAACACAAGTCATTGGACCTGGAACCCTAGCTGGTCTGATTTGTAAAGACCCTGAGAGATGGCCCACTTTTTCTTTTTCTTTTTTGTTAATCCTCACTCAAGGATATTTTTTTCCATTGAGTTTTTGTTGTTGTTGTTAATCCTCACCTAAGGATATTTTTTCCCATTGATTTTTTGAGAGAGTGGAAGGGAGGGGGAGAGACAGAGAGAAACATCCATGTGAGAAAGACACATTGATTGGTGCCTCCTGCATGTGCCCCGACCGGGCCTGGGGCTAGAGCCTGCAACTGAAGTACATGCCCTTGACTAGAATCAGACCTATGACCCTTCAGTGTGCAGGCCAATGCCCTAACCACTGAGCAACCCCCTAGGCCTCCATTGATTTTTAGAACGAATGGAAGAAAGAAAGGGAGGGGGGCAAGAGAGAGAAAAACATTGATTGAGAGAGACATTGATTGGTTGCCTCCTGCACACCCCCCAACCTGCAACCCAAGTATGTGCACTTGACCGGGAATTGAACCCTCAACCTTTTGATGTGTGGACAGATGCTCTAACCACTGAACTACTGGCCAGGGCTGGCCCATTTGTTTCAATGAGAAAATTAGTTCAGAGAGATGGACTGGCAGGTTCAAGACCATACAGGAAGTGGTGGAATCAAGGCAAGAACCAGGTCACTTCACTGCTATTCTCCTGCCATTCCCATTACGACTCATGTCTCAGAGCCACTCACAGTGGGCATGCTCTTGTCATTGGTGCCACGGAATCCTCTAAGGCAGGGGCTGTGCTCATGTACCTGACATGTGACTGTTGGTCTGCCCCGGGTGAAGGTCCTCTCCACAAGTAGGCCAGGAGCAATGGCTGTGGCTCTAAAGTCAGGGTTGCTTAGCGACAAGCCTCTGGGGCGAAGGTTGAATGAGAAATGGAATTCCAAAAATGACCCGGTCTTGGCGTGCATACACGTGCCTGTCACGTGTTCACACACGCTCATGCCCCACCCACCCACGCTGCTGGGTGAGATCTCTTAATAAAAATCCAATTAGCATTTCTTTAACTTGCCTCCAGATGCTCAATACCATTGCCCCAAACACAACATAATGTCCCTGGTTTTCCATTTCCATCAAGAATTCAAGTAGCATCTTGACTTGTATATACTGTATCAGCAGCAAAACCATGGAATGATGACATCCTTAATAATCACAATTAGTAATCAGTTGTTCCTTAAGTAGTTTGATTACACCGGTTACCAAATTGTACGGTCGATGCATTTGGGGGCAAGAAGGGTCTCACCAGCCCTCCCCCAGCTGTCCCTGCTCCCTCCCCGTGTTCTCAGTGGTTGCTGAGCTGACAGGCATAGAAGAGAGGCAAGGACAAACAATGCGACTGTTACCGATATTAAGCAGCGGAGACTTGGCATTAGCAGAAAGGAGAACTAGATAGTTCTTTGCCAAAAGACTAGGCCCAGAAGCGCCTGTGGAAAGGCAGTCTGTGCCCACTCAGCCGAATGATCACAAAGGAGCTGGCCTGCCCGTGCCAGGCGGGCACCCAGAGTCTGAGCTCCCTCTCAGGACGAAGACTCCGTGCTGGGGGCTGGATACCACCAAGTGTTCTGCAAGGATCTTGCCCTTGCGGAGGCTGAACTTGGGTGTGAAATATTCAGTGGGTTATAAAAATTAGCCGCAAGGCCGTGTGCTCCTGTAACTGATAGAGACGGAGAGCGTTAAGCTCTGGTGAGGGAGGAGGTGAGTCTGCCGGCCGGGTCAGCAGGAGTGGATCCAGGGGAGGTGGCCTGTGTGCGGGTCTGGAAGGACAGGGTATGTTCTGGCCTAGGTGAGCAGAGGGCACATCTGACCAGCTGGAAAACAGCACAATACAACTAAAAGTAAACCTCAGGTCAGGGAAAATATTTTCAGCGAGTATGACAAAGTGATTCTATATATGTTACATGAAGAAGTCTTTCAAAAGTGACAAAAAGCATACAAAGAAATGGGAGCTATTGCCCATGGACCTGAACAGACAAGCCACGTGTGAAGAGGTCTACAAGGAAAACAAAACCCCGCGGACAAGACTGTCCTGAGCAGCAGAGAAAGGACGCGAGCAGGCACGGAGAACGACCAGGGCGCACGCATTAAACTGGAGGTTAAGTACCAGCTTTCAGCAGCAGCAATGTCCAGGGTGTGGCGAGACACGGGCACTTGTGCTCAGAGGGAATAGAAGTCCTTTCAGAACACAAGTTGGAAACTTTTATATCCTTGTTGCAGTAATATGGCTCTCAGGAATTCATTCTAATATATAATATAACCCAAACCAGAAAAAAGCCCTAGGAATGCTAAGATGCTAATTACAGCATTATGGATAGTAGCAACAATGTACACAGAGCTTCCCCCTCCTGTAGGCATTTGGTTTACGTATTTTGTGATGAATCACCTCAATCGGTGATTGAATTAAGATGACTGTGAAGCACTGTGAAAAGTACTTTAGATACAGTAACTCTACGGAGCAAACACAAGATTATACCTCCGACCTGGTTCTGAGCAGGGCCATTGACTTGCAAATGGACCAGCAATGAAGACACACCGTGTTAGGATGGTGGTGCCTTGGGCTCACCTTTCTCTTTTTAAGCGTGTTGTACGGGGCTCTAACGGTTGCCTGTGTCACACGTGGATATCCACAGTCTATGCTGCACGTGTGCGTGTAGGGATGTAAGAATCACACAGCCAAGAACTGTCATTTGCTTTTTCAACCGTCCTCCCTCCCAGCTCCGGGAATGGCCCACCTGCATCACGTCACATGCACACGTGATGGGTATAGTTTCAAGCACAGGAGATTGGTTACCTAGGAGCACCCCGGGGGGCAGCTGGGCTGAGGGGTCTTTCATCCAGTCGTCGTTGGCCAGTTCTATCACGGCGTCCACGTGCCGGACCTGGGTGCAGATCACAGTGCGCACCGTCTCCTCATCCCTGGCGTCCAGCGCAGACTTCAGCCTCCTCACCAAGTCTGAGCTGAGCGGGTGGTCGGGGAGGCAATCAGAGCTGGACATTGTAATGGCGTCTGCGTGGTGACCAAGCTTCTTTTCTTCCCAGCTGAGTCCGGAGTTAGCAGCTGTGGTGTGGGGATGCTATAAATAGAAGAAACAGGCTTGCGTTACCCCCTCCCTCCCCCTCCTTCACAGGGAGGCGGGATTCATCTCTCTGAGGCCCCAGGAGAGACTATTCTAGAGAGGGGCAGTAGATGTATTGGTGAGGGGGTCGGGAACAAGAGGGGGCATATTTGAGAAGGAAGTTCTCACCGGTGCTGTTGAACCCCGTCTTCTGTGATCAAGAGAGAGATTCTACCTGAAACTTTAAACACTGGGCTTGGAGCCTCCCTCTGTGGAAGGGGCACTTCAGCATGTCCACCGACAGCTTCCTCGCTTCATCTGAAAGGAGAGTCGGTCTGCCTATAAACTGGACACGCTCTGAACTGGAGAGAATGGAGGGAAATCTTTGGTTTCCAATTTCAGAGACCGACTGGCTGGTGTCAAGAAGACAAACGCATCACATAAGTGAACAGGAAAGAGTAACCTATGTGTTGGCGATGTCTCCACACCCCTCAGGGCTGGTAACTTGGCTTAAAGTACCCGATTCCACCACCGTGGGAATACAACGCCCCTCATGTTGATTTCTGTGCATTCTGGGGGGATTGGAGGATTTTTTCTCACGACCTCTGTTTCTGTTGGTCCTGGACCCCCACATTAACTGGGGCACAGAGCCCAGCTGCCCCAGCACTTCCCTGTATTTTGTGGTGACCTAAGAGGCCCAGGCTGCGCCATATAGCTTTCAAGAAATTAATACACTTTTGGATTCTTTTTTGAATTGAAATATATTTGCTATATAACATTGTGTAAGTTGAAGCTGTGCAGTAATGCTGATTTGGTACATCTACATGTTGCAGTATGATCACCATGTAGTGCTAGCTAGCTCCTCTGCCACCTCACATGGTTATCGTTTCTTTTTTGTGGTGGGAATAATTAGGATCCAGTCTCTCAGTAAGATTGGTGTTTATAATACAACTAGAGGTCTGGTGCATGAAATTTGTGCAGGGGAAGGGAGGGATCCCTCAGCCTGGATTACGAGAGGGTGCAGGCCAGGCTGAGGGACCCCACCAGTGCATGATCGGGGCTGGGAAGGGACACGGGAGGTTGGCCAGCCAGGGAGGGACCACAGGAGGGCTCCAGGGCATGTCTGGCCCATCTTGCTTAGTCCCCATCTGCTGGACCCCAGCAGCAAGCTAATCTACCAGTTGGAGCATCTGCCCCTGGTGGTCAGTGCACATCATAGCGAGTGGTTGAGTGGCCTTAGCATATCATTAACATATTATGCTTTGATTGGTTGAATGGATGACCAGACACTTAGCATATTAGGCTTTTATTATATAGGATATTGTTGTCTATGGTCACTACATTGTGCATTAACTCCCTAGGACTTATTTATCTGCTAGTTGCCAATTTGTGTCCTTAAAAACGTTTCCATTCCTCATGTGGCTTTTATAGAGCCTCCTCTACCACGCACCCCTATCCTACCACCTCTTCCTTTTCTCATCTCCCCTTGTGATGGTTAATTTTGTGTCAACCCGGGTGGGCCACAGTGCCCAAATATTTGGTCAAACATTATCCTGGATGTTTCTGCAAAGGTGTTTCTTTGGGATGGAATTAATATTTAAGTTAGTGGACTCTGAGTAAAGCAGATTACACTCCATAATGTGGGTGGGCCTCATCCAATCAGTCGAAGGCCTGAATAGGATAAAGACTGATGCCTCCCAAGCAAGAGGGCCTTTGGACTTGCACTGCAACTTCTCCTGGGTCTCTAGCCTGTTGGCTACCCACAGGTTTTAGACTTGTCAGTTTCCACAGTTACATGAACCAATTCCTTAAAATAAGCCTCTTTTTCTCTAATACTCCCCTCCTTCTCCCAGCTCCCAGGTGCCTCTATGCAGGTTCTGTTCCAAACGTTGACACTTTTTGCAATATGTCTGGCACCTGCATTTGAGGAGCTAGCCCTGGGCTCCTATCTATGTCTGTTCTCCTTCCTCCTACCTCACAGAGCCTGGGTCTTCCTTGCTGTGACAACGTGCCCGGCCGCTGTGATAAATCATATTGAAGTAAGTCAGTAGTGTCAGTCCTAGTCTCCTTTGCAACCCAGTTCTGGCCAGTGAGAGTGGGCATGGCCTGCTCTGGTGCCTGTGGGGGATTTTCTGCTTTCCTGATGGATAGGGACATCATGGCTGGCACCTCCCTTTCCCTTCCTTCTTCCCTTGGGCCCGGGCATGGTGTGTGGAGCTGGGGCAGCCCCATCACAGTGATGAGGTGACACATTTGAGATGGAGGATCACTACCTAAGGAGAGTGGGGCAGAAAGAGGGGGCGAGATGGCTCCTCGATGACATTTCTGAACCTTTGTCCCGGTTCTGGGCTGCCAACCACTGGACTTCTTGTCTGTATCCCGGGAGAACTGTCCAGGTGCTCACTGTGAGTGCAGTGGCAGATGTTCCTGGCTGGGAGGGTACTCTGTTCACGCTGCCATTAAAATCACGGACATGTCCTGGCTTCAGTCTAGAGAGAGGCCGCAGAACGGGCTCAGCCTGTGCTGAGAATGAGAGTTAATCCCCGGAGGTTTCCATGCTTTGGTTACTGGACTCCTGCCTTCCATGATTATCTCACTGTTGGTGCAGGGACAGCAGCCAGCCCCAGAGTCCCCGAGTGGAGAAAGGATGGCCACAGCCTGAGGTCATCAGTGAGCAGGCAGCCAGGCCCCTGAGGGACTGCCTTCCAGCGTCGCAGGGATGGAAAACAACCCCCGATGGCCACATTCCTGGAATCACTGGCCGCTGGGTCGGCCAGGAAAAGAGATATGAACCCGCTGGCTCAGTCTTTGGTTCAGGCATTAGGCCAGCTTGCTAAGAGTGTGGTTGGCCCCTGGTGCTCTCTTCAGCCAAAGAATGATGGGTGTTGAGATAGTTTTGAACCTGAGTTTCCAAGCACAAATGCTTTGCATTGCAGCATCGCATGCCTTACCTTAGAGAGAAATTTGACACCAGCACATTGGTGTAAACACAAAGAGAGGGGGAGCAGTGACCACGGGAAAAGGGTCGGAGTTTGGGCAAGGTAATTTAAAGAAATAAACCGAGGATGGTTAGCGAATGCTACCCAACTTCAAATCAGAAGGGAGGTGAAGAGGAAGCACTTGTGAGGCAGATAATAAGATGACAAAGCCTGGAACAGCGGCGCTCGCTGATCTTAATTACCAAGCGATCTGCTGGGTGTTTAATCAGAGGCACATACGCTATGCTAATTATTCCGGCTAATTTCGTTATAATGCAATTCTTTATCAACCCTGCTATGTATAAATTAGGAATTGAAATGTAACTAACACAAATTATATTTAAGGCAACATGAATTTCTCTATTCCAGTGTGAAATCTTCTAATCTCTATTTCTTTATCTTTTCTTGTTTGATTAGCTCATGGGGATCCTCCCCTCCCCCACGGCACCAATATTTCCCCCTCCACTTCTTAGAAATCTTATATTTGACTTTCTCCTTCTGCGATTGTCCTTGAAAGGTGTGGAATACATTGAGGCAATCAATGGCAGGCGGATCCCGGCTTTCCCTGGGGCAGATAGAGGTCACTTCATTGTTCTGCTTTAATTTTTTAGCAATCATCGGAGGGTCCCCTAGTTCACGTATTCTCAGTGACATATTGATTGTGACTTATGTCAGGTTATGTTCACAGATGTGTTTAGGTAGAGGAACGATAACACAGACCCCCACCGAGAAGCACGAGTATTTTGTGGAAGTTTTAATGCCGCATGCTTTGCCGCCCACGAGGTCAGACTGGTGTGGAAGTCGGCGAGCTGTGCAGTGCCCACGGGCGTGCCCCCGAGGGCACCAGCTGGGAACTTCTCGAAAGGATGCTCTCTTACATGATAGAGACCGTCTTTCTAAAGGCAACAACCAACGTCAGATTTAATGCTGAGACACAGATGGTTACTATGGCCAAGGACAATGCAGTCCAGCCAGCTATGATCACTTCTTCTCTGTTTCATTTTGGAATCAATTGAGAGGAGGCGTCAGAGGGGCTCAGAGTGTCAGCTTCATGACTGACAAGGCCACCGAAGCAGGAGTCTTCAGATCGGAAGCCAGAGGAGCTTGCCGTCAATCCCTGAATCAGGCACCACACACATCATTGGCAGCGCTGGGCCTCCTTCCCCACCTCGCCCACCAGGACTGACCCTTCCCAGGACGTAGAGAAACCAAGACGACCCTCTCCTCAGACAGGCAGACCCCAGAAGAATCCAGAAGGGGCTAAGCTATGCAAGCCCCTCCCAGAGGGCCTAGTAAGGTCTTCCAAGGAGAAAGAGATGAGACTAGAGGGAGGCTGGGCGCAGCACACGGTACAAGTTCATGCCTATGGACGCACAAGGCCAAGGGGACCTCTAAGAGTATTCTACACATTTTGAGAAGTTTTAGCTAGTACAAAGTCAGGGCAAGAAATAAGAATGATAAATAGCTTTAAAAAATCAAAATGATCAACCATTATCTGCAGATGATACCTGTATAAAATCCGAGTGAACCAATGGAAAGATATTAATTAGAACTTAACAAAAATGTTCAGTAAGCTAGCCTACTGCCCTCCCAAATGAGCAAAATTAATAGTTTTCCTATAGACCAGCAAAGTTAGAGACCTGGACAAGGTGCACAGGAGAGAATCCTGGGAAATAAGGTCACACCAACATTCAGAAAATTCAATCAAAGAAGGAGAGAGAAAACCTGCCTTGTCAATGGCAAAATACATAACAGAGCTACAATAATTCTCAAGGGCGATGGTGGCAAAAGAAATGATGGAAAATTCACAGAAGAGAATAGAAAGTTCAGAAACAGAAGCAAGAAATAGGTTTAGGTTATAAAATAGCAGCATTTAATTCACGAGGAATGAAAGGATGTTCTGTAAGTGGAGTTGGGATAACTGGGAACATACAAAGTTAAATCTGTCATATTATGCACCAA